AAACCCTAAACCGACCAAAAAAACTGAAAAAAAAAAAAAAAGAAAACACGGAAAATTAAGGAAACAAATCCCCGGCCACTTGAGGGGGTGGGGTCTCTGGGCGAGAGGTCCTTCAGGCCCTGACAAGATGCCTCCGAGGGCTTAGAAGTGCTTTTGGCAGATAACCTCCGGAAGGCCAGGGGCCCAAGCAGAGCCAACTGCGAAAACGCGGAATGGGCGAACATGTGTTTTCCCACATTGAAACTGTAGCAAGTCTTCGGGCCCCCATAGTTACTTGGAACACTTGTTTCGTATAACCCCCTCCACCTCCCACCATCCCCAACCATCCCTAAGCCCTCAGCCCTCAACCTCACCCCGCTCCCCGCACCACCAAAGCACAGCTTCTCAGCCCTCCCCGAGGTGCGGCAGCGCGCAGAACCCACAGGCGCACGGGGCTCTGCTGCTGGCGGAGCACGAGCAGGCGCCCCTGCAAAGTGGGGGCTACTTTTAGTCTTACGGGGGGTTTCACGAGGGCCTTCTTCCTTACGCAAGATCCTTGCATCTGAAAGTCTTAAGCTGGAGCCCCTCAAAGCAAGAGCGCTGCTCATGAAAGCACCGAGCAGCCTTAAATTGACTCCGCAACCTTGACGGCCCTTGCGCCCTGTTTCCTGAACTCGAAAGTCCTCACACCCCTGAATCCTCGAAGCTTCTGTGCCAGGATCGAGTTTTCAGTAGAAGCTCCCAAGTTGAGCTCTGAATCCCCCAAAAGCACGAGTCCAGCAAGTCGGAGGGTGGCGACAACCACAAGTTCTTCGAGCGGGCCGTGCAGGGTGCCATCGACAAGTTCGGCCTGGAGGTCCGGGTTTGCTTGCAAAGTGGGGTTCATACCTGCACCCGCCCAACTGGGGGTGTAGGGCCCTTAAGAGTAGGTACTTCAGGAAGATAGGTTGTGCGGCTTTGTGTCGGGGCTATCAGGCTTAGGGCTTTGAAATGACTACCTACGATAATGCAGGGCTTGAGTCTGTTGGGCCTTGTCGGGGGGTACAGTAGGGCTGTACGGGGGTCAGGGTTAGGCGAGGGCGGGGGGGGGGGGGGGGGGGGGGGGGGTAGGTAGCGGAGCTGGACCCATGCTTGGGTTTAGTTGACGAGCCTCCGCGTCGAAACAGCCTGTCTCTGCTGCATGCGGGCATGCGCCACACGCGAAAAAAGGCATTGGGGCACTCCAGGCTGTGCAACGGCCTGAATTTCCTGCCCTCAACTGGCGGAAGGTTGGCAACAACTACCTCCTGCTGAGCTGGATGGAGGATCCCATCAAGTTCAGGCCTGGGAGTGCAGGGAGCAGGGTCGGAACTTTTGGGGTTCAGGCTTCAGGGGGTTGTGGTATGGACCTTCGTTTAGCAAGCAGGTTCTTCCTTCAGGATGTTCCAAGCAGGTTCTTCCTTCAGGATGTTCACTTTTTGGCTTGCCTGGTCTAGTTTTTTCCGACGAATCCCTTGTGCGTGGTTCCATTCGGCCATTCGGTCAGTTTCGGTTGGCGTCAAATGGTCGGGAAGTTCTGGCTCAGGTCTTTGGATTGTTGAATTAAAGCTGAAACTTAAACCGTGCTAGGCCCCAATCCCTATGAACCCCCCGGCCGAACAGACGACGTTAGGCGTTTTAGGGTTTGGGGTGACCCGAACCCGACCTAGACCCCCAATCTACCCTTAAGATGCAAAGGGCTTCAGAACAGCAGAGAGTTTCTGGCCCAGCACGACATTCGACCAGCCTTGGTGGATTTCCTCTGCGCGCACGTCACCCAACCTTGCAGAAGCTGAGCCGCAGAACTCGAAACCCCATACCCGATCTTGCTGAGCCCATAGCAACAACTTTCAACCTTGGTTTTTTGTGTTGTTTCCTTCCCTGGAGAAGGAGGCTACAAGCCTCAACCGCCAGCCCCTCAGCCCCGAAGCGTCCGGTCGCTGACTTTGACCCTTGCTTCGCTGGACCCAAAACCCAAAACTCGCCAGGGATGGCCTTTGGAAGAGCAGCTGGAAACTCTTCGCGGTGTTCGCCGGCGTGCCAGGGTCTCGGCGCTGTAGAGCCAAACGGAACCCAAAACCACAACAGCACTGCGCCCCAAACCGCCACGATGCTAAACGCAACCTGGACCCTCCCCGCCCCCCACCCCCCCCCCCCCCAAACAGAACCTTAAACCCCCCCAAATAAAAGATATAAGCATCTTCGAGTCCTTCCTAAAGGAGGTGCTTAAAAGGCACAAACCCTGGAGGTATCTGATTATCAGCGCCATGGTCGGCTTTGTGATCTATCCCATCCTGCGAGGACCCAAAGTTCTGGCAAGGTTGTTTCATGGGGTGGTAATATTCTTGGGGTTTACATGATGTGGACCCTATTTTGGGGAATGCCCATTGGGGCTCAGGTTTTTCCAGGGCTTGGGGTTGACGTATGGTTCAGGGTTCATGTGCGGTTGTCTCGTGTGTGTTCAGGCTGCTGCTCTGCACTTGCTTCGAAGCCCCCAGAAGTTCCTCTGCAGAATTTGCATCCACTCCCGGCTGGGCACCCAAGAAGCAAGAAACCTTACAGCAAAGCCATTTCCTGAAGTTCCGGACTTGTGGTCAAGGGCTTGGTGACTGAGTGTTGGTGCACTATGCACCCCTATGCGTCATTGGATGGAGTGTCTGGCTACAAAGAAAGTTTCAGCCTGCAGAAGTCCTTCTTCAAGGCTCCCAGCTGCCCCCAAACCCCATGTTAAACCCTCCCCCTAACCCCCTAAACCCTAAACCCTCCCATAAAAACATAGCTGCCAGGATGACACTCCCCCCGCGATGCGAAGGCGAAGCGACAGCGAGGCACGCTGTCGGAATGTACTTCAATCATGCGTAAGGGCTTGCTCGGTCCTTTTCTTTGGCGGTGGGGGGTGGGGGGGGGGCTGGCCGGGTAATGGATGCAGGGGAAGCATGGGGACTCAACGCTTTCGGACGAGGGTATGGTCAGCTTGAGGATCTGCTGAGCTCAGGGTTTGAGCAGTTGCGAAAAGTTTAGGGGCACTTTGGGCTTACAGGGTTGAGGGTTTATCGGGTTTATAGAGGTTGGGATTTCGAAGGAAAGGCTTGTCCAAAGCAGTCCGAGCTGCGAAGAGGGCAACGCCGCACCCAGAGAGCACAGAAGCGGAAAGGGGGTCGTGTTACAGCCGTCATAGAGCGTTTGCGTGAGGAAGCTGGCGTGATGCAAATACCCAGAGTGTTTCAACTCTTACCAGAACTCTACAGCGAACACGGAAATCCCAACATTTAGAAGTCCAATTTAAGTTTATCACCCCGACATACTGGCACTGAGGTGCGCTTGGGGAAGTGCCGCGTATGAGGGTGCAGAGCCTTCGTTGGCCTTAGACTCCCCAAGCCCTTGCCCCGGCTCAAGCCTAAGCAAGAAACTTAAGGCCTATAAACCCTCGTAGACCTCGATTTATGGTGCCCGAAGAAGTTACATTGGGCATCTCATCTCGCCGCATCCCAAGACGGGACGTGCGGTAGGGCCTGTCATCTGCTGCTGAGGGTGGCAGAGGGTGCGGAGTTGCAAAAAGGTGCAGTGGCCATTTATTACAGTGGGTACGGGCATAACCCACATGCAATGACAACTGTAGGTGAATCTCAGGCCTTGCGGGCTGAACCCTAAGTGTTCTTCATCTCTCTCACACCCAGTTGAAATTCCAAGCCACTAACACCCAAGCCCAAAGACCCCGAAGGGCACCTTCGGGCTGAGCGGGGCATGTTGTTGGTGTTGCTGGGGGTTGGGGCAGTGTAGCTGCAATATAGCATGGTGCATGATGCGCGCTGCCTCAGGTTCAAATGTCTAGCCGCCAACCGAACACTTTACTATAGGAGTTGGAGGCTGCTTCTTCCGATTCCCAAAGCCCACAACCCTAAAACCTAAAACTCGATAAACCCTAGACCCCTGGGCCTTGCAAACTTGGGACGCCAACTCACGTAAAGCAGTCATGGCGGCCGGGTTTCGCTGCGGGGGTGAAAGATTCTAAAGCAGGCGTTCTCCTCCTTTCCCCGCCCGATGTCCTGCTGGAGCGCCCACCCACAGAGAAGCCCACAGAGAGTCCCGGGAGAGTTGTCCCTGAAGTGCCGAGTCCTGCCAAGTATCCCCGGAGTGCCCGCGCCGAGTTGCACCCGGCAAAGATGCCTGCAAAAGGTCCCGCCGAGTATCCTTGGAGTGCCCACCTTCAGAGAATCCCGCCAGAATCCCGCCGAGCCTCCCATGAGTGCTTGGTGACGTATCCTTAGTGTCCTGTCGTTCACTTCCTATGATTTCTACAATCTCTCTGGCAGGGGGCCGAACAGTCAATCAAGGGGCTGTGGTCTTGCTTGGGGGTGGCCTGTCGTCCTGTTTGGTGGGGGCGGGGCGGGGGGGCGGGGAGTTGCGTTTGAAAGGGCTGGCCTCTTCCGGAAAGGCAACCCTGAAACCAAATCCCCGCTCCTCGGGATTTTGTGTTTTTTTGATTGGGGGCAGGTGGGGGGGGAGTTGATAGTTTAGTTTCGCATTTCGGGGGAGGGGGGTTAAGAAATGCCAAGTCAATCATGAGCAGAATTAAGCGACTCAAGTGCCTCCACAATCCTAAGGCCCCCATCAACCCTGAAAAGCCGCCAGGCCTACCAAGAGGTCAGTCCAAAAGCTGTATACATACATACCTTAAAACAGCCTCCAACTCCTATCCTCCAAAGAAGCCTCGATCCCGTGCAGAGGCCGGGACGGGAGGGAGGGGGGATTCCTTTGCATCGTCGTTAGGTCGAGCGTGGCTGCTGCTCGTAGCTAGCATGCTTGTCACTGGAACTGTCGATGGCCACTCCGAATGGGCACTGTCCCCCTACTTTCAGGCAGCGAACTGTCAACCCGGCAGCACCACCATGCCCTCAAAATCCAAGCCGCAACTCGGAACCTATTCCTGGCCTCCAGAATCTAAATCCGGAGTGGCGACTTACTATGCTGGCCATGCAGGCTGCAGGCTGCACCACAGTCAGATGAGCCCGCAAGCGGCTTGCAGGCAGGTTTCAGGGTTGGGGATTTGGGGATTTGGGGTGGGGGGGAGGCTATGGCGATGTTCTCGCCGGCCCCAATGGCCCTGGCAGATTCAAGCCCCAGGCCCTCAGCTCATGACTCTTTGCTCGGGTCCTAAGGCTCTGTAGCTTTGGTCAAGTGTTTAGGTTGGCTTAGGTTGCGTAAGGCGGGTTGTGAAGGTTCATGGAGGTGCCGCGCATAATGGCATACGCCATGTCGTGAGGGGCATCTTGCGAATGCATATAGTACAGGTGGGTCTGACGGAAAGGCATGCAAAGGACCCCTGACCTCTCCTTTCGATTCAGCCACCCGCTCCCCGCCTCACCCCAAACCCTCAGCCTTGAACTGAATGTTTTTGGGTGCATATAAGGTTCAGGTTTCGGGTGTCGATGCCAAAGTCCCAGAGCCCATAGTTCCCAAACTGCACATCGTCTCTGGTTCCAGGCTTCTCCTCGCGCTCTGCCTCACGTTTGGCGAGGCTAAACTTGGGAGTTGTGGGTTTTAGTAAATGACAGCAGGGTTTGGAGGCCTCAAGGAAGACAACCCGACACCCAGAATAGGACGGAGGCTGGGGGGGCTTTGGGGTGGTTAAGGGCACAGGCGCCTCAACAAGTCCCCGTGCCACCCCCTTCCAATTCCTCAGGACACAAGGTACTACCAAACCCCGCCGATGCCACATCGGCCCTTATGTTACTTGAAGGTTCATGGGCAGTTATAAGTAGGGTTACAATTACCCTAGATAAGGGTTATAACCGGGTATAAGTAAATAGTTACCCTACTTAGAACACCCTTCTTAATAACTACCCATGAACCTCCAAGTAGGTTCAAAGGCTGTCCAGTTTAGGAGTTTCAAAGCAGCGAGGCGCTGGCCAGCACCGCACCAGCGGATGGCCCCAGCCTCGGGAGCTCGCCTTGCGGAGCTTGCAGCTTTCGGGTTCAGGGGGTTGCTTGGAGGTTCATGGTACCTAAGAACCCAAGTATGACTGTACTAATAACCAACTATAACCACACCAGGTCACTTTTGGGGCTTATAAGCGGGTTATAAGTACAGTTATAATTGGGTTATTACGGTACCATGAACCTCCCAGCAGAGCTTCGGGTTGTATAGTTATAAAGGGTAATGGCTTAGGCGCCACGTGCGGTATGAAGGGTCTAGGTTTGTAGGGGGTTTGGGTGTCCATGCCCCCAAAGAAGCCACAAGACTTTCGGGGGTTCAGGTTCAGGTCTGGCGTTTGGGGCTTCGGGGTTTTAAGCTTTCAAGAAAGACAGACCGGGACCTCAAGACACCCCACCTTCCCCCCAAAACCAGGTTTCGTGCCTCAAACCAGGGGCCAAGAAACGCTAAACCCCTTCAGGCTCCAAAACCTCCCCTCAGGGCTCCCAAATACATTCGACTTCTGCAGATCCTCTTATAAACGCTTCAAAGTAGTCTTTAAAGTCTAGTCCCTTTTCCCACCGCACGCCCCCGCAAGCTCCCGATAAGCATACTGCCTGATAGCTTTGTGCAGCCTCTAGACCCCCCTGAACCCCTTCCCCACCTAGCACTTAGAGACTGGAGACTATGGACCTGAGATGTCTTGGGCCAACCCTACACCAGGCACGAGCTGCTCCGGGGAGGAGTGTGAGGCTCCAGGGCTTCAGGGTTTCGTCTTGGGGGGCGAGAGGGGCAAGCATGGCGTTGTAGGGCCTGTTAACAGGTACTTGAGGGTTGACGTAGGCTTTCGAGCCCTCAACCCGATGCCCCGCAAAAATCCTCTCAGCCTGGAGCCCTTTCCGGACTTGCGAAGCCCGAGCTGATTCGAACCTTAAAAGCCCTTGGCCTTGTAGGCAAGCCTGCAGAATGGGCATTTTTAACGTGATTTTGGGGTTGGGGCACTCACCTTGCGGACTTGGGAGGTGTCAGGAGCAGAGTTAAAAAGACATAGGCCCTAGGCTTACATACAGTATACCGTGAGGACATAATATGATTGAATGGTCGCCTAAAGGGGTGCGTGGAGGAAGCTACGCAGAGTTCTCAACTTGGGGCTCACGATTCAGGGCTTCGGAAGCATCTGCGCAGGTTTTGGGGACGCCAGGGAAACAAGAGCCCCAAAGCCTTGGAAGCCCCCCAAGAAGGCTTCCACAAGGAAGCCCGCGAGTACGTCCGACATTTTGCGCAGATAGCATGTTGAGGTGCATTCTGACCAATTTTTCAGCTCAAGGTTTCTGAATCGACAATCCGCATATAAGCCCCAACGCCTAAACCCCCCAACCCTATACTGTCAGACCTCAAGCCTGGGAGTCGTCAGGCAGAAGCGGAGGTGCTGTTGCTGCAGGCCTCTTCCATTTTTTGGGATGTTCGGGGAGGTTCGAGAACCCCGAAATCCTAAGCCCTTTGGGGAGGTTTTAGGGTTGAGGGAGAGGGCTTGGGAACCGACAATTTTTCCTGGGAAACCCTCAGTAAGACGTCTGCTGTTTAGAGATATAATATAGTGAAACGCAGGGAAGTGGCCGCAGGTCAACAAGCTGATGTACTCAAATCGAATGCTCCCGAAAAGAAGGGAGTCCTCGAACCACATCCAGCGCAATACCTCTCTAACTCCCTACTCGGACCCCAAACCCAAACCCAGAGCCTTCCCAATTAACTTTAATTGAAGGCGAACTTCCCTTCAATACTGTAGCTCCCCCCCCAACCGAGGCCCTATGGTACCTTTGGGAAACTGGTTGAACACTACACACCCCTAGAAACCAGCAACCGCTGTAGCCAAAACCCACGGTCCAAAGAAGCCCTGCGCAGCTCGGTGTTGCATCCGCGGCCAATGCCAGCGTCGCGGCCAATGCCAGCGTCGCGGCCAACGCCAGTGTAGTCCCCGCGACGTCGCAGGTCACTGCGGTGGGGTGTTCGGGCCAGTGTGCTAACATCGTGCTTGTTTATGGTGTCGGTTCTAGAGCGAGACGTGGCGGGCTCATAATTGGTTTGTGCATGTGGCTTTGAATTCAGGGGAAATTTCAGGCTTTGCAAATTGTGGGGTGCTTCGGGCCTTTAGGGCTCTGTACTTGAAGGCTCACGGGTAGTCATTCGAAGGTATCAGTATCCGAGCTGCTGCTATTTTGCAATTTGCCTCGAATGTAAACCCTATAAACCCTTCCCCTAAACCCTCCAAGCCAAAAACCCTCCAGAAAGATGAAAGATGTTCCATGAGTTCAGGCGATGCAAGTTGCTGAGCCGAAGCTGCTCATCAAGGTTTGCAGGGCTGGAGTTCAGGGCTCTACCTGGGCCCTGAATGGTATAACTCTTTCGTGGGTGCCCTAATGAACTCTAGTATACTTAAAAGGTAAAGAGTACAGTAAAAGGATACGAAGGCACAAAAAAACAAAAAGGGATCTACAGCTGTGGGAGCCTGGGGCTCGGAAGGTGTCGAGAGTGCTCCTGTTCATTTTTGCTTGCTGGAATTTTTGGGGCTCCGCATGCAGTGTAGGCTTCAGGGGTTTAGGTTTTGGGGTTTACAGGGTTTACAGGGTTTATAGGGTTTATAGGGTTTATAGGGTTTAGAGGGTTTATAGGGTTTACAGGGTTAATCAGAGCCTCATGTCTTCGATTCGCAACCTGGCAGGAGGCGCCGGCCGCCCTCGGCGAGAGTGCGGCAAGGCGCACATCGGAGCCCCTAACTCGCAAGCCGCAAGCCCCTGCGCGCTCTCATGGGGAGGGAGAGAGCGCCTAGCCGCGCTGTCGATCTTAGGCCTCTGAGCCTCTGCGAATCCTGATTCAGGTCGGTCCCTGCTGAGACCCTGCATGCCGAAAAGCAGCCCACATTTTCCAAGAGAAAATACCACGCCCGAAACCAGTTTACTTTCTTTTGACGTATAGTGCTTAGGGTGTGTGTGTGTGTGTGTGTGTGGGTGTGTGTGTGTGTGTCTGTCTGTGTTTGTCTGTCTCGTTGGGTGTGCAGGGCGGTGCTTCCTCTGGACCTGCTCTGGAATGCGATGGCAGAGGCTGAGCAGGGGGGGAGGCACTAAGCTCGGCTCAAAAAACGAACCCTATGAAGCAGAACACCAGACCCTAAACTCGTCTTGAGTTGAGAGCGTTGCTGTGCGAGGCTCGTTTTCGATTTGGCGGTTTAGGGATCTCAGGGCGTGGGGATAGTTTGCCGCAGCCTGGGCTGGGCCCCTAGATGATGACGAGACGTGTAAAGACATAATTGCTCTGCCACGGGTCCTTTTGGGTAGTACTCTGCAATCTCGACTCTAGACTTTCCGATGACCAGCGGTTTTCTAGATTCTGGCCCTTAGAATAGGAGTCTCCTCTAATGCTTATGTTGCTGCGCGTTGTTTACACAGGGATTTGCACTGCTTGTGGGCCCTACAGGTCTGCTTGGGTGTACTTGATCGCTGAACCCCCGAAGTCACCAAGCAAACCCGAAATTCCCAAACCCTGCACAAACCCGCAGCCCACTCCCGACACTCCGCTTTCGGAGGTGACTGTGGAGCGCGTGCGCCGCGGCCTCCTCGTTTGCATGATGGCCGTCCGCACCTCGCGTCCTTGCAGAGCGTTGCGTTTTAGGGCTTGAGGTGCTGGTATTTGAGATGGGTTGAGGGTTTATCTCGGGTTTATTTGAGGTCTAATTAGGGTTTACTTGGGTTTGCAGATTGCGGCTTCAAGGGTGGGCTCGGTGCGTTGCTCATTCTTCCTTGATATTCTCAACCCGAAGAAAGGCCATGTCGGCCATGTTCAGTGATTGTAGGATGCATTATCATATTCCTTCTTCCCATATCTGCAAGGGCTCCAGAAAGACCGGCAAACAAAACTGTCCCCGCAATCCTGCATTCAGATGCCCATCACTCTGAGGTGGTCGCACAGCTCTTCGCCATCATGCCAGGAGCTCAGGACCCCTACTTTGTGTGAGTGTGTGAGTGTCTGAGTGAGCGTGCGTGTTCTAGAGGGGTTGGATGAGTGGATCCCTACTATGTTATTCCGTGTTCAGCTGCACACCGGGTGGACCCACATGTGGGGGACAAGTTTGCAGTAAGCATGTTCCTTGTAGTTGAGGGTACCAAAGAGGGCCCATAGCTTAGATCAACCCCAATCATTGTCCCTAAACACTATCTGTAGGTGGTCAGCACGCGGAAGACAGTCTCGCAGTCGAAGTGACGCTGCCTTGGCGGGTGCAGATTCTTTTGGACTTTTTCGGGCCGACGTCACGTTTAGGGTTTTATGGGCTTACGGTCAAGCATCGCTGCTCAGGTGGTTGTCTTCCCGAAAAGCCTGGAACTCAGTGGAGCTTATACTTTTGTGGCAGCTGTGCTTCGGCTTTGTTGCCTCGAAAAGCCCGGTTTGCGCACACAGTTGGGACCCCATTAAGACCATGGTTGGTAGACTACTTGCAACATAGATCTGCATGTATACATACCATGTCTTATGTATGTATGCACGTATGTTTTTTGATATCTGTATATGTGTATGTCTCTTTCTTTCTTTCTCTCTCTCTCTCTCCTTGTGTGTCTCTGTGTGTGTGTGTGTCTCTGTGTGTCTGTGTGTCTGTGTGCGTGTGTGTGTGTGTGTGTGTCCGAGTGTGTGTGTGTGTGTGTGTGTGTGTGTGTGTGTGTGTGTGTGTGTGTGTGTGTGTGCGTGTGTGTGTGTGTGTGTGTGTGTGTGTGTGCGTGGTACACACACATGCGTAGGTATGGCTGTTGTTTTCGGCATCTACAGAAGCTGTTGGGCAGCAAAAGGATGGTGCTGTCAGCCAAGATTTTTTAGGCGACGAGAGGCATCTTTTGAGGCCATTCTTATCTATCTATGTGTACATGTCTTCTCAAGCCTTGTAAGTAAAGTGTAAGTTGGATTTCGCGGCAATAGACCTTAAGCCTCCAGAAGCCTAAGCCCGCGCAAACCTTCCCACTGCGAGGCCAAGGACCCCGGCCCCGAGCCGCTGCCACGGGTCGAGCCCAGGCCCGGAGGGAATAGGGTTTGTAAAGTGGGCAGTTGGTTCTGGCAGGCTTATATGGCTTCTGTAGGGTTTTAAGGCTTTTCTGAGCTTGTCGGGCTTCTAGGGCTTTTTAGGGCACTGGGGCTGGTAGGGCTTTGAAGGAGTCCCTGAGAGGCTGTGGTCTGTACGGAGTTGGGGAGGTTTCGGGGTCTGCGGCCGCTCTCGTGCTTTGTACATGCTCAGAGAAAACCACAGCTGTCATACCATATGATTCTCAACCCCAAACTTACAAGCTCAGATCCGCCTGTGCAGGATGTACCAACGGACTGCCAGGCGCGGACTCTTATTTTTCGTAGCCTGAAGCAGGGGTTCGAGGCTGTTCCAGGAGATGAAGCTTGGTTGTGTTTCGTCGGCTGAGATTGTGCTTGTTTTGCTAGCTACCCTAGTCATCTCAGCAGATTCAGCAGTTGCACAGCTTCCCAAAAATCGGGCCTTGACCTTACTTAGCTAGCAGTTGAGACCTTGGCACTTGGCGGGCTTCCCCCCTTTTTTTGACAGCAAGATTAACTTAGCAGAGCCCCTGCCTCAGCGAGGCTTTCGGCAAACTGATGTTTGCTGGCCTTGTGGTCCGGGAGCTGCCCGTGAGTGGTGCGAGGTTTAGGGGGCTCGTACGTGTCTTCAGGGATCTGTTGTGTTTGCTTCACACTTTTTCATTTCGTTTGCATACCATGTCGGTGTTCCTCTTTAAGACTCTTTAGGCAACGGAAGCACAAGTCAGGGGCGATGACAAGGTTGCCTTTGTTTCACTTTGCGCGCCCAGCGCACGTTCAGTCGTAATGGCTGAGCACCTACGTGGCAACTCTTATCATGCCTGATGCCTGCTCCGTGCATTACAGTGACACCTGCTTTGTGGTACTTTACTGTAACTTTAGATCCTTACCTTTTTGGGGTTTATTGGGTTTCTTCTTAAGGCAGCTAAAAGTTTAATTTATAGCTACCCTCCTGAGTGCAGCCACTGCTAGTCAGGTCCTACTCCTACAACTTGTACTACTTGTACTTCGTACTGGTCTAGGCCAAAAGCACCGAACGTTGCAGCTCAATCCCCTGAACTGCAAATCATGCAAGCGTTGCCTTTATGGCTTCAGCCTTGGCTTGCTTTTCAACCTTACCCTAACAAGGAGAAGATCAATACCGATGTAAAGAACTCGTCGTGTGCAGGCATGTTTCTATAGCACTTGTGAATGAGACTCCGGCAAATTCTTGGTATCGTATACTGTGAGGAAATTGACAGAGATCGCTAGAATCAACACCCAAACAGAGAGCCCGACCCTACTCTACGCCTCAAACCCTCACCCCTGCAGCCAACCCTGAACTCTAAACCAACTCCAAGCCCAAACCTGGACCTGATAGCCTCTCAAACTTCGCGCGGATGTCGAGCGTGTCTTCCAGCAAAGGGAGGAGGCCGAGCCACTGCTAAACTCTAAAAATACATCAACACGGGGCAGCCACAAATCTCCACCCCTTCTTTGTGGGCTGCGGGGTCGAAGTTAAATTTTTCATGAGCCCCATGCGGGGGGCTGCCTCGACCCCCCCGCAGGTTCAGGGATCTTCGGGGCTTGAGGGTTTTTGTTCGTGTCTTTCAGGGTTCAGGGTTTAAGGTTCAGAGGGTCTAGATCGTCATCGAAGCCAAGAACCCCAAGGCCAGGAAAACGGTCTGTGGCATAGTCAGTGCAGACTCGGAAGCTCCTTCAGCCCTGAGCCCTCGGCACCAACCCTGAAGCTTAAACTTATCAATCCATGAATCCTCGAATCCTGCCCGGTCCTTCTCCGCACCCTGTATTCCAGCGTCTCCAGGTGTCGCGGCCATGCTGGAGGCTGTGCTTACGCGCATCATCCTCCGATACGCCCAGCGCCTCTTGGACCGCGGTCTGGGGACTCGGGGCCGGATACAGAGAATAGGGCTTGGCGCCCAGTTCTTTATGAAAGGATGGTTTGTGGATGATGCGGATAGCATTGGTGATTGTCTGCGCTCCTGCCTTAGGATTTTGTATGCTTCGGAAGTATAGGGTTGGGCGAAAGGGTCAGTCACGTAAAGCTTTCGATTGGTTGATGCATGCCACATCCGGACACCAGTTTGGGGCTATCTGGGTTCCGTCGAGCTTATGATTTGGGCTTTGGGAGCGTGTTTCTGCCGGCAGCCAGGTTACATTTGCGACACGCTCCGGACAGACTCCCTGTCACTGCCGCTCGGCCAAGCATCATGTCAGTCCATTGTTGAAAGTTGTGTTGACAACTCATCCAGCATCGCTGGCAGTGAAGCGTGACGATGTGCGGTATTCAAGTCCATGTGCTAAAGCAGAAGTCCAACAGTATAACAAGTAGATAAATCAATACATGTGTACATATATATATATGTATACATGTATATCTGTGTGTGTGTTATTGCACGCACATGTTGCATGTTCTGTTGTGAGCCCCTGTTGATCCCTAGATGTGTGTCAGTTTCAAGCAGCCATTCAAAAAACACTCGTCGCCACACTCGTCTCTGAGAGGTGGGGCGGGGATCTCCGCGTGGCAAACTTCGAGCTGCGCACAGAGGAGCTGGCGCGGGCAGCGTGCCAAGTGGTTCGCGTGTCACCCTGCTGTGCGATTTGGGTGTTCGGTGTGTCAAGAACGCTGGATCCGGTGAGGAGGGGCTTACTTTGGCAGGTCTCTGCCCTTGCCTTCCTGCAAGCATAACCTCTTTGTCGCAGAGCCTTAGGGTTTTGGGTTTCGATCCTCTGCACCGCTGGGCGTTACGGAGTGCTGAAAGCGAGGTGCTGGGCACAGAGGAGAGCAGCATCCAATTGACGCGAGGCCCGCTGAAGCACACAGCTGTGCTGGTTGGTCCTCAGCCCTGATCCTCACCTATGTGGATGGGAGGATCACCTGAGGCTTGCCCTCAACCCAAGTCTTTTGCTCAAGTTCTAGTTATCCCAAAAAAAGCCCGATGTCCTCAACCACGCAACCCATTCACCCTTTGGGTTGACAAAAAACCACCTGTCTCAAACTCCGGTTGCGCTCGGCAGGCTTCGTGCGAGAGCTTCGTGTCGCAGCCTGGCTGACATTACGGGGGCTGCTTCGGCTTTGGAGGTCCCTGAACTCCTAAAACGTCAACCCTAAACCCTACTGACCCTAGCCCTAAATCATTCATCCCTAAGAGTATGCTTCTCCTCTTTGTTCAGAAGATACGTGGACAGACGGTGGCAGGCCACACCTGTATTGGGCCTTCAAAACCCTACATAAAAACCATATAAAGCCTGTTCTGTAAAGCCCTGCATAACACTTAAAACTCAAAACTCTATGAGCCCCAGATGGCCTTAGCCCCAGATGGCCTTAGCCTTTTCAGCCCAAGAAGTCAGCCTGCAGCCCTCGGCTCAGGTCGTGCCCTGGAACGCCATACGCTCTCAATCCTTGCGAGTTGAGGCAAGCAGGGAGCTTAGGGGCCATATGGGGCCATGGGTTTAGGCTTCAGAGAGCCTAAGGGAGGGCGAGGCATGTATCTTTGGGGCCTTCTGGCGCGGCTTATCGGCCCCATGAGGGCATCAGGCTTTTCCAGGCTGCCTCCAGGCGCAATGACGCCTGTGTTGTTTTGCAGTTTGTGCTTTTGGCTGGTTCGGTTTAGAATGGACTAAGCATTTCAGTTGGGTTCAGCTGTCTTTATAAGTAGAGCGGAGCATGGCCAGATCGCTTCATCAATCAACAGGGCCATGGCCAGATCGCTTCGTCAATCAGCAGCTGCTACTTGCGGTCACGACCCCGACACCAAACGATGCACAACGATAACATGTCTCCAGTACTGACACTGTTCCAAAATTCGACGAAGAAGACATTGGAGCAAGACTAATGTTAAGAACAAGGACGGTATTATTTCCCTGCCTCCAGCAGTCCAACAACCACCCACGCTGCCAGGTGGACGCCGTGGAGATCATCTTCGGGAGCGGGGGTGGAGGAGAGACCTCATAATGTGGGCTCAGCATTAAATCCCTAAACCCCTAAACCCCGAAACCCTATGGGGTTCAGGGTTTTGGGTTTTGGATTTTAGGGTGCAGGGTTTAGGGTTAGACCTTGAACCCTGATCCGTTGCTTGGAGCACTGGCCGTATGGCCGTAGACATTTGCCTTGACCCCAGAGGCCCAGCGGCCGCACCCGTGGCGGCCTCTCCGGCGGCGCCTGTCAAGGACTGTGTTTAGGGCTTAGAGTTTAGGGGCTTAGCATTCAGGGGTTAGGGTTGATTGAGGGATTATAGGGTTGAGGGTGCATCTGGGTACTTTTCTTGACAGCCTTGAAGAAGTTGGTCCTCGAAAGGGGCCCTGACGTCAAACCATCCCCCATAATTAACCGGCTCGTAGGGTTTATCGTTTGTTTTTGTTTTTTTTTTTTTTTTGGGGGGGGGGGGGGGGCTTTTGGTTTTTGTTTGGGTTTGGACAGTTTTAGACGAGATGGCTCCTTGGGCTTTTAGAAGTAGCCCTTGTAGGTTTTGGATTTCGGAATGAGCTCTCTTTCGACTGAGGCCTTGGGATTCGACGTTCGGAAGAGGGAAGACCGTGCACCGAGTGCTCCCCAACCCTCAACCCCTTATGCTCAATGTCGTAGGGGGTCCCCGAAACGATTCCGAAACTATGAACAAACCATATATGATACTTCAGCCTGTCAAATCAAAGCTCTGCTGCCCCAGCCCTAGTCTTTGTGTGTGTGTGTGTGTCGAGGAAAGCTCTCAGGAGGCCTTGGATGAGTCGCAGGCCAGCGGCTCGAGTCAGTTCGGGTTGGGCTTGTGGCTTGTACCGGCTCAAGAAATTGGAGCGTGTTGGGTTCAGAGTTCCGGGCTCGGAAGGGTTTTGGGCTTGAAGGTGTCAAGGCTTCTGAGCCACAGGGCTTGTCTCCCATCTCGCATTTCAGAGTTTTTACGGGTGCAGATTTGATAGGAGCAGTGTGGGCTGTATCTTCTGGCTGCAGCCACACGATCGGTGCGACGTTCCTGCAGGTTTAACGGTCACCAGAGCTATTTCGGTTGGTTTAAGGCACGCGTGCGCAGTGAAAGCAAACGGGCCGCTGGTCTGTTGGTTTTTGTTCTCGGCCAAAGGCCTGGGAGTGCCGCGAGGCCTGAAAAGAGTCCATGCCCCTGTCGGTTGGCAAACCCTGGGAAAAGTTCTGGCTGTTTCTGCTGGTAGTACTACCTGCACCTGCGCAATCAAAGCGAATCGGCAACTTGTTTTCTTTGGTCGACGTCGGGGATGATGACAACTGCGGTATCTACGACTATTGCGTGCCATCTGGCCTGGGAGCAGTCGTGGCCGTGTCTCAGGGTCTCGAACACACGTGCGCCATACTGGCGGACAATCGGCTGGTTTGCTTTGGGGTTGGCCACCATGATTGCTCGTTCGGTCCTATCAGTCCTTTCAATATAGGGCGCCAAGGATGCAACTGAATGATGCTTCTTTGACGGTGGTTGCGCTGCATGGGCAGGAGACGTGGCTGCAGCCGCTCTTGCGGAACATCTTCGGCAATGTCACAGTGTCGATCGCCGCTCGGCACTCTCAGAGTCAGTGGTGGTTGTATTTCCGCATAATACTCAACAAGGTTCTTGCATGCATGGTGGGGCAACTACTTGGACCATCACATGCGGTGTGCCTGTCATGAACTTGGACCCATGACTCTCTCTGAAGCTCGGGCTGGAGCCGATGAAGCCGGATACTATGTTTTAGACATGTCTAAAAAACATGTCTCAACAGTTTTTTAGACATGTCTAAAAGATAGTATCCAGTTGAAACCCTTCCAAGGATAACCTCGTTGCCAAGTTGGAGCGCAATGGCGCAGTGGCGTGCGTGACTCTTGGGTCAAGATTAGGGGTGGGGAGTAGCCATTCTGCGCATGCAGCCGCAAAACAGGTTCTTGGAGGAAACCTGGGATTAGAAGGCGGATTTTTCATTATCTGAGGCTCCGGTGGATGGATATCAGCTAAGCTTTGGTTGTCGGCGGGCTTCCAAACATCAAGAGAAGTGCTTCACGTGCCAGCTTCGGCTTTGCCCAGGAAGACAGATGGAAGAAAACATCATGGGTTCTCCTTATTTCAGCTGCTTCGCAACTCCTTGTGTTGGTGCAAGGGCTGAAATATTTGAGGATCAATCTTTGCATAGGAGAGAGGTTGACATGCACTAAGCCCCAAACCCCAAGCATTTGGGGATTCAGAGCAGAGGATGTAAGGCTGATGAAGCCTACACAGCTCATTGCCAAAGGACAGTCGAGCGCCTGGACTCCCGACCACATTCGGCCACGTGGGAGGCGCAGCTCAGTAGCGACTGCTAAGAAAGAATGTGAGATGTATCAACAGGAATATATCGCAAAACAGGAGCAGGAGCAGTAGCAGTAACAGGAGCAGTAGCGCCTTTGTTGGTGGATGGAGGAGGGTGTAATGCTTTCTTGCGGGCCCACTTTCCTATATTCTCAACCGGGTTTAAGTCCCCGAGAGGCTTCCTGAGTTTAGGGGAAGTGGTAGGTAATTGTAATGGTAGCATGGCCCAGAATTGATGTTTGTTTGAACAAAACTACAGGCCAATTTCCTCGTGTCCAAAGTGTCGGTGCAAGGCCGATGCTTCAGGGAGTGTAGCACACCCCGGGTGGGTTCCCTTTCTTCCCCAGGTTCTTGGGGAACCCTAAGCCCAAAGCCCCAAACCTCCTGAACCCCAAACCCCCGTGACCCTCGATCCTCACCAGGCTGGCTTCACCCCGCTGCAGAGCCTGCAGCCGACTCTCTTCCGAGTGGTTTCCGTGCGCGCGGTCCCTTGAGGTTGAGGGTTTGGGATCCGGCAAACTTGAGGTTCAAGGGGCTTGTAGGGTTTAGGGATGAAGAAGGCCTTGCTCAGCATAAGGTGGCATTCTGCAACTGGGAGCTGTGGGCTGCGTGATTGTGGGTAATGCGCAAGATGGCAGGCATGGTCTTGGAACAGCCTCGGTGATCATACTCTTGGAGTTGTGGTTTAAGTTAAGGCCTTCGGCTTTTGGGATTGCTAAGCACGCAAGCTTCCGCGCTTGCAGATAAGCGGAGACGCCCTAAAAACATCGAAAAGTCGAAAAGTCGAAAAGTTGTCGACTTTTCGACTTTTCGACTTTTCGGGTCTCGCCGGAACTTTTCGGGACTTTTCGACTTTTCGTGGCTTTTCGGGCTTTTCGACTTTTCGGGGCTTGTGCACTTTTCAAGATTTTTCTACACTTTTCGACTTTTCGGACTTTTCGGGCTCATCCCCCTCAGGACTTTTCTGGACTTTTCGACTTTTCGTGGCTTTTCCGGCTTTTCGACTTTTCGGGGCTTGTGCACTTTTCGAGATTTTTCTGCACTTTTCAACTTTTCGGGCTTTTCGGGCTCATCCCCCTCAGCCCTTCCGACGACACACACACACATCCTAAACCAGTGCTATCATAAATCTACAGCCACTCCGAATTTAAGAAGGCCTTGTAGGCTTCGCCGCGTGGATCTTACATGCGACAGCCTCAACGACGTGCCTGGGCAGCCTACATACATCCGGAGAAGACACTTGGCGATTATCTTTAGACCCAGGGCCTTGAACCCAGATCTCCAAGAACAATGCTTCAGAGTTTAGAGCCTATGGAGTTTAGACATTCAGGCTTCAAATAGTCCAGGTTAAGAGTTTACAAGAAAGATTATTGAAGCAAGAAAATTAAGGGTTGAGCGTTAGGAAGAGTTCCACTATTCAAAGACAAGGTTACAGAGTTAGTTGTTCAGAGCACTTTATCTCTAGACCCTAACCTGCACCCAGATTTCCAAAGAAGTTCAGAGCTACAAGCTCATACCACCCCATACCAGGATTAGTGCAACGTACCCAGAGATCAAACGCTTCGGAGTTTAAAACTTATGGTGTTGAGAGGTTCAGAGTTCAGGGTCAAGGCTCGGAGCTTTAGACATTTGTTATGTTGAAAAGGGTTAAGGATCATATCAAAAATATGGGTTAAGGGTTAAGAAGAGTTAGACTGTTCAGGGGCAAGGTTAAAGAGTTAGTTGTTCAGAGCATCTTCAAGGCCAACTGCCACAAATTTAGTATCTTCAAGTACGACTCTGAATTTTGAGGTAGATTCAAAAACAAACCAAACATCCAAAACCCTATGATTCCTACTCAGTGAAACTCAGGCCTTTCCTGGGCCAGCGGCCCGAAATCTACAAGTTCTAAAGCTTCTTGACTCCCGAGGTGAGGCTTGAAGGTTAGGCTTTTAGAGCTCAGCTTCCAGGACGACTGCGTGTCCATCCAGTCCGTGCCCCCCCAAGCCCCCCCCCCCTCCGCCCGAACCGCATAAAAAACAATGCTGGATTCCCGGCACTTCACCTTACAACTTCCAGAAGAATGTGCTTTGCCCACTTTTCCGCCTTTCGACATTTCGGCTTTTGGACATTTCGAGACTTTCAGACTGCTCGGAACGTTCAGGATTGTTCGAAAATATTCATGCTTTCGACTTTTCCTACTTTTCGGGATTTTCACAACTTTTCGACTTTTCGACTTTTCGACTTTTCGGCTTTTCGTTTTTTCGGCGACTTTTCGTTTTTTCGGCGACTTTTCGGATTTTTCGGTACTTTTCCCGCATTTTCGACTTTTCGACTTTTCGCCTTTTCGCCTTTTCGCGCTAAGCTTGTGCCCCAATCAGCTTTTCGACTTTTCGGGTTTTCGGCTTTTCGGGTTTTTGTGGGCGGACTCCACTTGCGGCCGCGGACAGCCGTTCGCAATCACAGCGGATTGGGCAGCATGCGCGCTGTCATGCTGTCATGTTTGAGTCCATGGTTTGTAACCTCTGAAGCACTCGAATCCAACACGATGGCCGCGCTAAAACCGAATTGCCGCTGCCAGAACTTCCTCGCCTCTGGCCAAGCCTGTCCACTCGAGGTGACGTGACGGTTACGCTGGATCATTTGCAGACGGCCCTTCGGCTGAAGCATCTAAGGGGCTGCCCAGGTAGCGTTTTATGCATACTTCTATTATGTATGAGCACAACTCAATCACGTAAGAAAGGCTAGTGCAACAAAGCTCGGATATCAAGACAATTCAAGGCTAAGCCTTAGACCAGTGAATTGGGATGCATGTGTTGAGCCCGGGCTGAGCCCTAAATGCCTGGCTCATGGTGGGCTTGGGGTTAGGACATACAGGGCTGCTTTATAAGCTTTAGGGTTGGGTTGAACGCGGAAAACTGCTATAACCCCTAGAGCCCCTCTAACCCTCGCAAGGTTTTGTACTTATAGCGCGTAGAAGTCGTTTCACTTCGTTTTTCTTGACCCGAAGCATGACCATGTACACATGGTCCACAGGCATTCGAGGGTCGTGGGTCTTGACCTGCAATAATTCTTGTTGGATGTGGGGCTGGCAAGGTGTCGTCCGACCGCCGCGGGCGGCGCCTCAAACACAGCAAGGTGGGAAGGGAGCGGGGGGTTGGTTTCAGGCCTCAGTCTCGCGCTTTTGTGAGGTTTACACGCTAAACCCTAAACCCTACAACCCTAAACAACGAAGCCCTCCGCATGCAAGCAAAAGCCAGCTTGGCGGGTGGAGGCCTCTGGGCGAGCGATGCGGCAGGCAATTGGCCCGGCGCTCTTAGTTGAAGGTTTTAGCGTTCAATTGACAGGGTTCTTTAGTCGGGACAGTCGGGGTTCAGAGCGTTGACGTTTTTGGGTTCACAGGGCTTGGGTTTTTTGGGGAATGTAGGGTTCAGGGTTCATGATTCTAGGTGTACCATGTAGAGTAGCATTTCCGGTGCTTGATCGGTAATTAATAATGGAATCTTATTAAACTACCCAAATACCCATTCCGCCCAGTCTCAAGCGATCTTGTCCAAAGGCTTCTCTCTTGCCTGATTCGGCTTTCAATGCTGGAAATACTCAGTGCCAAAAAGCACCATGCAACAAATTCAGTCAATTCTTGACCCGCATACTTCCTGAGCGCACCAAGTATCACCTTCGATACATCAGACTTTGGTCCGCTTCACCCAATTGACAAGCCGACCTTTGAAGCCTTCCCTTCGTGCGGTAGGTGGCGCTGCCCATCCTCCATCGAGTGTCGGCAGAGGCCAGCGAGGGTGTCTTGGGGTTTATAAAGCCCTAAACCCGTATGAACCCCCCAAAGCCTCCTGAGAATGAGCCACATGTTTGGCTGCTCTTTGGGCTGGCAAAAGGAGATCTCACAGGCACACCGTGCCTGCTGCGGTATACCAGTTAAGCGAGGCCTGCTGGACATCCTGAACCCACGTCCGCAACGCTTGAGAGGTACTTCTGGAATGGCCCTGGCTGCCCTGGTCTCGTCCTGCCTGGCACCCGGGGCAACGTAGCCGAGCGTGGGAAGCTTTTGTTCGGACTCAGACTCGAATCGTTCTCGTTCTCTCTGGTGTTTGGTTTTGTGGCAAAGGGTAGTTAGAGGGGCGTTGTGGGGTAGGATGTTAGGGTTCCCTTCCCAGGCCCCGTCGCCGCCGACGGGACGGGTTGGCTTCTACCTGAGCCCAGCGCGCGCCCGGCTAGCGGGCGACCAGGCGCACTGGAGCGCACCAGGTTTTGGGATTTAGGGTTTAGGGTCTCGGGACATGCTAGAGCTTGAGCTTCATGATGTTCTTGTTGTCGGTGGTTAGGGTTGAAGATTGAGGGACAAGGTTTGTTTCGTCACTTTCGCTCCGAGTTCCAGCCGCTTGACACGCCTAGTCGGTTACTTGGGAACCTGGTGATTCCTACGACGGGCAAATTTACCGTATGACATCTTGAAGACAATCCTTTCTAGGGCTGCATTGTGGGTATGCGCAGAACAAGAGCCGACATTGGTCGGCAATGCAGCGGCCAACCCCAGGTTACGGCTTAGGGCCTTAGGGCGCGATGCTCGTTTAGGGTGTGGGGTGCCTCGCGTACCGTGGACCCAGCTGTGAACACCCTTGGTACTGGTATCCAATCATCCAAGCGTGTGGCTGGAGGTGCAAATCTTGGCACAGCTCTTGAGCCCGGAGGCATTCATGGCCACTGTTTCCGGCATGCCGGGAAACCTTGTTCTTCGGGGTTTGGGGTTTGTGGTTCGGATGATTTCATGGTGTTGCATGGAGCTGAATTTAGTTGAACAGCCTGCCAAATAATGCACTTCATTTTGCCACCAAGCTTTGGCAAAGTGCCAGTATGGCATGCTTCGGGCAGTTGGCATGCTTAGGTATGATGTGGTTGAGATGGGTTGAGCCAGGTTGGTTGTGTAGTCACTTCGGCCGCAAGCATAAACACAATTCAACACATATGTTGAACGTTTTGGGTTTGAGATACTTGCTGGTCGTGAGCAACCTTTGTCAGC